TTTTTATGTTTTTGCATATATGCAATGATTTTGATTAAAAATCAACCGAATTTAACGATTAATCTGCTGTAAAAGTGACATTATTTTTTTTTTCGAAAGAGAAAATTTTCTATCTCATGAAAATCTCCATTGTTAAATGTTTAAATAATCGAATAAACGTTTTAAAGCCAACATCATTATATTATTTTTTTTTCGAAAATACATATCTTTAAGTATGACAGTTTAAAAGGATTTTTTTATTCACTCATATAAAAATTACGAATTTTTAACCGTTTCATCAATGTTTTTGTTTCGATTTCAATCTTGAAACATGAAATTCAGTATCTAAAAAATACAATCTGATTTCTGCGATGGTAAAAATTCATTATTAAAATTTTCGTAAGTATACGAGATTTTGTTCAGATTTTTATTGAGTCCGCAACACAGTGTAAAAAACTGTAGCGGCCCTCGAAGCCCCACGTTGCTGACGGTAAGTGCTACATTGTCGGCGGAAGGTTAATTTCACGTTGCTCTACGCGACGTTACCTCGTCTCGCGTCTCGTCTCATTCTATCTCATATTCTATCTCTTCTCCTCGCGATATCATCGCTACGGCAATTTTTCAAGGTCCCGATGATACCAAGAGATACCGTCACAAGGATATTGCCTCAGAGGTATTCTTTCTAATGGAACCCGTTTGACAAAACGCACGGATACGTGGAGAGAAACTATACGCCTCTGAGAACTGTGCCGACACATTTTCTATAGTCTCTAGGGAAAGATCTTTCTACGTCTAAGGTGAATCGCACGAACTTTATTTCGTGATACGGTTTAAACGCCGCACGACTCAATACATTATGTATCCGTCCGCTGGTGTAAGTCTTGTATGCGTTCCCCGCAACATATTCCGGTTACCCTAGCCTTGATCCAGTTTACCCTTCGTATATATATCTATTCGAATCGCGGCTGATATCTTTACAACAAAGAAAAAAAGGAAGACAATGACAGAGTCGTTGCGAATCAGTGTCGCCCTTATTAACCGAGGTATAACAATATCGACTCAACGACGCCGTGCACAATACGATATCCACGTACGAGTATTAAAACTACTACCTGTCCGACCTTTCAAATCCTAAATAATCCGGAAAATAATAGGACACTCAATTATTTCGGATTCTGCGCGCCGGAGCAAGTCGGAGTATTATTCGGGTTAATTGAATTTGAATTTCCGTCCGTATAATATTTGTTACATAAGTAAATCGATTCGGCGGGGCCAGAAGGAAATGGAAACAGTGCCGCGTCTGCTCGGAAATAAAATATTCATAACAATAATCTGATGTGGGGCCGAATACGACAATATGACGCGACACGTTGAGTTTGAGGTCGAATGTAATTAGAGATTTACACGCAGCATATGGAAAATACAAGATAGATCTCATATACTTCGATCACGTCGATGAGTATTGTTTCTCCTCATGTGCTGGCGCACGCGCACGTTATTTGTTGACCACCCGGTTGTTTTCTTTTGCTTCGAGTCGCCGTTTCGCCGAATTTGTTGTTTGACGAAATCGGATATTTTTCCCCTCGAGCACGGAATGTTGAAGACACGAAGTATCACGCGCGCACGGCTCGTATCGCTCGACTTTTCCCTCGCTCTCATATTTTCCAGGCCGATCTCTGCAGTGCGACCGAACAACGGGTGCAATTTCACGGTGAACACGCGCTACACGCTATCGAAACTTCCTCGTCGCGCGCGCATTCTGTATACGTGCGCAATATCGAGGCCAACTTGTTAAAAGTTATCGCAAATATCGAAGTTCGTCTATCGTTGGAAATGCATTATTTGGAAGGACGCACAGCTTCGACCGTGGCATTAATTGAAACAAGCAAGAGCATTAGTCGCTATATCTGTCATGATGTAATTTATGTGATTATTATTAATAGCGATCGTTATGATAACCTGGCGAGAATGATAACAAACCCGGTCGCAAGAAATGATCAGCTGATTCCTGCTTTTGGTCCATTGAAATATATATGTAACAATCTGTTAAGTAAGAAATAAATACTCTTGACTTTACTAAATAAAACGAGATACATAACGATATTTTTTATCGTATAATTTAATTTTCCCGAGTATCTTATCGATATTTCCACTTAACACCTTACCAAGATGCGAACACATCACGAAACATTTCGATACTAACTCTACATTTTAAGTTAGCTGTCTGTGCGTTTACTACGTCAGGTGATCGACACGATCGGTAACGTCAGGATTCTCCAATTATCCCTAACCTTACCGGAAAGTCACGTAACTGTTTTACCGATCAGATTAACGACTTTAATTGTACTGTCGCTAAAGACCAGATCGGTTCGATGCGGTACTGAATGTAAAATTAATGTGGTAAATGTGAGCACGTTTCTAGTAAAATGCGCTTCTAGACGGTACCAGACGTTACAATTTCTAAGATTTAAGCATTATTACGACTTCTGACAGCATGGGAAACGCCTTTCGTCAGAAATTACATTACATTTGTATTGCTCAGAGCAAAAAGCTAAAGGTTTATAAACACCTATTGTAGATCCGAACTTAAAATTTAACCAAACTTTAAACTTTTGTCTAAAGATAACTCAAACTCAGATTAAAGCTTCATTGTGGTGATCTTTAAGACGTCTTTAAAACTTTTATGTTCCAATGTTTTAAAGACGTTTTATATTCCAACGTCTTAAAGACGCCTTATGTCTTGATTTTAGATATTGTGTTTTTGGGAACAGATATAACATCAATAAACTCTGATAAATAACAATAAGAACGATGGACAAATAAAACTCGTCGCTAGATATTGGCTGTGAAATTTATATAAATCTTAGCAGGAGGATAAAATTGTTTTCAATATTTTGACGTAATGGCAATACATCCTTAAACTAATCGGTGAATAATCGGCAGAATTACCGACGTCAATTTCTAGCTGTGCAATTTATCATACTGCAACAATAGTGAAAAATTAATTATTTCTGTCTAAACAAGATAGAGCGAGTAATATTTGATTGATAAAGCAATTTAAAATTGTCAATTAGATTAATTTTTAAACCAGATCTTGACGGAATCCCTTCTCAATTCATTCTTATATCCATTCAATAACGATTAAAGCGCGATTCATTTCATCACCTCGTCAAAATATAATAATTCTTTGAAAACTTGATTTTGCGTTTATCTCCGTTTTTTTTTTATTTCGTTAGATAGAGAGGGCAGAATGGAGAAAGGCGGAACTCGCCGATAAATGATAACACCAGACCAAGCGATTTTAAACTGGAGATTCATCTCTCGCAACGAAGCACGAAATTTATACCAACGCTTTTTCACTGTGCGAACCAATTTGATACAGAAGCGGGTTTTAATCCCGAACCCCAACGTGGGGTCTCCGCTGCGGCGGCACATCCTGTTTCATCCCGGTTGTCGGACTTTTGTTTTGGTGAAACAAAAAACGCATTGACGTCAGCATTCGGATGAAGTTAATTCGACCTTTACCATATGCCGATGCGTACGAGATGCGTATTATCACGACTGTCTGTCTGTCTGTCTCCCCCCGCTTCCACTTGTATATTTATTCGTTCCCACGGAAATTTCACACGCATACGACAGATGCTGCGCGATGAAAACCTGCCGGCGTGATAAATCGAGCTTTTGATTTTAATTCGTTATTATCCTCGAGACTTATCAATATGCGTCATTTTTATATAATAGCACGTCGAGCATAACAAAATATCGGTCACTTCTTCGGATGTTATTTCATAAATTTTTGCTCGCTGCGTACGATCGAAAATCATATATCACGAAATGTCAACGAACAACCAGCTCAATCATGAAACAAATTTTTCCCTCCAAAGGGATTAAATGTTACTGAAGCGTAAAATTCAAGTTCGTCGAAGTTTCATGGCTGCGACTGTCAGAGCGCGACGCAATTTTGCCGAATACATCTGCATTTTCGGTTGGGCGTACGACCGCCGACGGAATTATAGACGGGACCGCGGATGTGAAAACTTTCGCTCCCAGGAAAGGTTCTGTCATAATGTTTGGAGTCGGGCGAACATGTTCGAACAAAATTGCTAAAAGTTTAGGACGTGGTAGACAGTTCAACGAATGACTCCGTACGGCGAAGTAAGTTTGCCGATATTTCACGGCGATTATTGCGATAAGAGATTCGTACAATTTCTATCGGGATAGATAAATCTTGATTATTATCACGAGAAAACCCGAGAACTTCAATCTGTCGCGCGATGTTCAAAAAGCGGACTTTTGAATCGATAGCATGAAACGCAGCACTGAGAGAAAATATTTGATATTTGTAATTGTAACAGAGGAAAAGCACAAAAATCGACATGCCATTTTATTTATAGATTCTAAAATCTTGATGGAGGAGCAAAGTTAAAATTTATGTGAATGGATGCAAACCAGACACTTTTCCTACAGAAACGATAGTCTTATGAAAATTTACATATTTTATATTGGAGTACTGGGGTAATTATTTATTTGAATCTAACACTTCTCTATTCACTACTATTTTCTTAGTTAAAGTCAAAAAAGAATACAGTTGGGACCGAAACTAACTCAAATTTCTTTCAAATGCCTTCTTGCGGAAGAGAGTTGAAAACGCAGGGAGATGAAAAGCACGTGTCCGAAGAAAGTGAAAACACGCAACGAAGACAAGTATAAATGCCGAAGTTGCACAACAACTCGTGCAACTCGCCCTTACCGCGAGACATTAGCGAAACGATTACGACGCGAGTCGCTGTTACTTGAAAACGCGGGAAACCCTCTCGCTTTCTACGCCTTCTACGCCTTCCCCGATGAAACGGCTCGCCCGTCCGTGACGCAGGGCCGATGCCAGCACAAGCCGGCCCTGGCCACCACCACCTACCCCTGGCAGACCTGCGGTTAGCAGCCCCTGCCGAGGGCGCTTACCGCGCGACAACCCCCAACGCTCAGTGGCTGCGCTTCCTTCGCACCAGGCGTTACGCGCGCGTCTTTCCGGATCGTGTGTGGTGCCGCAGTTGGTGCGCGCTTCTCTCGGTGAAAACGAATTATCCGCGGGTTCCTATGCGACCCGTGCAAGCAGAACTGCAGGTCTGAAAGGGGCGTCGCGACATATATCGCGCGAGCGAACGATTGTTCCTTACTGCGAACTCGCGCGCGTCTCTCTCCTATTCTCGCGACTCCCTCGATCTTCGGTAATTCTCTCCGTTTCCTTTCTTACTTTTCCCTTTTCTTTTCTCCGCTCCTCTTTTTCCGACGTCGTTCACGAGCCGCATCGCGTAGCGTGTAATAACGTCACGTTACACTCCCTGTCGGTGCTGTCAGTGCATCCAGAGGATAGTCAAGGGAATGTGATCTCGGTGCTCTCAGTGCGCCGAATTGTCGTCGATCACTGAGCGAGGTAAATTGCGCTCTTCGTGGTGAACGGTATTTCATTTGCGTCGCGGCTCCGGACGATTGAATCCGCCGTCAACGATCTTTCCTCGAGATCGTTAGACACGGATTTGATTTTATCGGCATTTAATTTCTCGCACAAACGACTGTCCCTCCTTGTTTTCGATGAATATGAAATAGGAATCTTTTTAATTACCATTATTTTGAAATATTCTATATGCGATTTTTATTTCCCCTAGTCTCCTTTCGGTAGTAATCATTCGGCCACATTATATTATTATGCGAGATTGTACGGAATTACGCCGAATTATACGAAAAGCACGAACGATCGAACGGTAAATTTGCCTATTATATGCGCAACAAGCTGCACGATCGAAGTGTCATTCAATTTTCATCGGGCAATCGACGTTTTTTCCTCTCGACGGAAACGCATCCTTGCCCTCTCAAATATTCATTATTCGTATTTTAATTGAGGTTGAGTGTGTGCATGAAACGTAAATCTAGATTGCTGAATTGTGTTACGGAAATTCAGACCGCGTTATCGCCAATAAAATATCGCGTTTGCGTTATCTATAACTTTTAATATTCTCACGATTTCCCTACAATATAAATATCTCAATTCTAAATGAGATGCATTTTTATCTTTCTTATAAACTAAAATAGAAATCTCGGTTCTGAAGTTATGTAACGATAATCGTATCGCATATTGTCTTCGATATTTAAAGATGGATTACGGTGGTCAGTTAAATTATGAATTTTGTATATATATATATACACACACACAATAACATTGCATTTTTAGTTTTACCGGAACACCGGCTCGTCCAGTACGATGGTGTCCTTACGTCAGAAAGAACCGAGGTCATATTCTGACCTACCTCTTTGACCTCATTTATCGCGTTGTTGATATATAGCGCTCGCGTCCACGTATGAATCAAGACCTTGCACAGTGCCCTTGTTGAAGGTTAATGAGATTATATCTTGATAATTAACGCAATCTAGAGAGAAGAGTCGCGCATAGTACACACATACATCGTGTTACGCTGTGCTTCCTAGCTGTTTTTCTTCAAAACCGAAGAAATCAAAGATAAATTATATTTAACGATGGGATCTCTCGAAAATCACGAGAGATTGAAATTACAGAGATATTCATATAATAGTTGCTGGAATATGGAAACACGAGAGATAATCTATCTATATATCAATTAATTTATGGAAACACGAGAGATAATCTATCTATATATCAATTAATTTATGAAAACCAATTAACACGATCGCACTGAATATTTCCCATGCAATCACAGAATACGTATAATTAACCTTTCGAAAATGAATTCATACAACTGCACATTATAACAATGAAAGTTTTTTTAAAGGTGCAGGGTCAAATTTTATTAGGGAGATACGAGTGTTTTCATCTCTAATTGCTACAACGAGCATTCAGTGGCTTGTCTTACGATCACAGTGCGGTAACACGTCGGTGAACGTCGAAAATCGTTTTCAGGATTTTTGCCGCTCGCAATTTTCCAGCATATCCTTCACACTCCTTCGTTGCGCCACTCGCTCGTGCTGCCTGCGGATCCAACGTACATCTGACGACGAGAAATCACGGGAGTGCGTCCTTTCAGTTCTCGCGGCGGGACGCGCATTTTCATCCTTCGCGGAGGCGACTGCAGGAAGTCTATACGAGAACAGGATGGAGTAGCGCACGAGGTGCGAGATTTCCGATAATCGAACAGATCGACTGACCTCCATTCGCGGGTCGCAAGACATCTAGTGGTGGAGTGTGCGTCGGTCAAAGCGCCGAGAAAAACTGCGGTCGGGAAATTGCGATCGGATTGTCGCGTCGATCTCGCGTCGCTTTTCATTTTCCTTCTCGCGCGCGCGTTCTTCTCGCCGTGTATCTCACGGGATTCCGGCTTCCCGTTGGCATCAAAGGGACGCCGTTCGCCTTCAGGATTTCGTTACTTCGAGAGGGTGAGTAGCTTTCTCGGGAAAAACCCGTTCTTGGGCGACGTTAAATCGAATCTCACAGGGGCGGCGAATCCGGCTTCGCGGAATGTCACGATCGACGTCCCTCGGCGCGGCGATGCTTGTTGACTTAGTATCCTTTTTCTTTGCTTCTTCATATTTGCGGTCGAGAATGCACGGAAGCAATCTACGTCTTTTCCCTCCGGAGAATGCGACTACTGTGTGGATTTTCGGCGCACCCAAGAAAGCCCCCCCCCCCCCCCCCCCC